GTGCACACTCTACCAGGCGAGCTACCCTGCGTCCCAGTTATGTACTTTTTAATGTAAAATAATATTGTTAATTTTTAAACATGGCTCATGTGACAGGGGCAGACCACTTAAACCACAATACCTGGCAGTGGAACTTCCAACTCTGTTGTGCTTTACAAGGAACACAATCTCTTTGTTTGTGGGAAGCCAGTGAGGGATCATGTACCTGTAGAGTGTGAATACTTTTATATAATAAAAATAATAGGTCACAATATTTGCCTGTAGGATCAACAAATTCAAGTGTGAGTTTCCTGTTTGGCTGACACAAAAAGTACAACTACAAACTGTAGCGTCGCTCTCTCACACTATTTACAGTCGACCTGATCAACATTTATTCATTATACACATTTTTTTAATCCAGGTGTAGGTAAATTATGAAACATAATGTCACAGTACCTTCAGAAATCTTTTAGTTGTTGAGTGTAAAATTAAAGATCTGTATTTTCATCGAGTCCCTAAACAAACAGATCCTCGTCTCAATGGAAATCTAGGATGCAAAAGGGCCACATGTCGAGTCTTTTTCAGTCCCTGACCCCTTTCTCTAATCACCTCTGCATCAGTGCAACACAGTACACCTGTGGTAGACATGCAGGCGCAAAAACATGATCACACACGCAAATAACAGGTGGAGCAGGGGGAGATGAGTGAGTTTTAAAAATCCTCCAAACTCACAAACACTTTGATGAGGTCAGCTCTGCCTCTGTGGCTGAGAGGAGCAGAGAGGAGAAATTGACCATTTCATTTTGAAAGGCTGTGGCTTTTGAATTTTACTTTGAGTTATTTTAGTCTGTTTCAAATTATGTAAATTTATACATTCTGTCTTTTCGTTTGCACAGGGATCTTTATATATTTTCTCCTGCGCAAATATTGCAACCAATTCAGGAAATGAATTCCCTTAAAAAAACAGTTACCATTTGTTCACTTATAAATAAAGAATAGCTCGCAAATAAACTGCACTTTTGCCTGTTGAGCTGAGAGACCCCCAATAAAACAGGGATTTTCTGAGGAACTGATAATGTATGTGGCGCACACGTCTAACCACTCAACAAACATCCTTGTGTTTGTAAGTGTCTAAAAGAATCTGAAGGCCATGCAAACATCTGATGGCGTCTGCAGCCAAAGACACAGACAGACGACCCATTCAGGAGCGTAGCAAAGTCTGGAGTCGGGAACTCTTTTCCTGCTGCAGATCCCTGGTTTGCAAAGTGTTAGCTCATTGCATCAATCACACTTGTATTTCACAAGCAGAGCCATCCATGTGAATTAAATCTTGAGAGGAGAATTAGAAACACAGGAAAGATTTGGTAATGAAAATAAGTGTCCCACATTATGAGTAGTACATCCTGAAAACACACAATTGGTAGCCATAATGTCAACATTTTTCTTTAAAAAATCTACACTTTTAGCTTAAATATTCATAAAAATTACTTGTTGTATTTGCAACCCGTATAACGATGGGAGGTTGTTCGACTTAGGTCTCTAAATACAACACACCAAAAATATTTCTTAATTTGATAGATGTCATTTAAGTGAAAAGGCATTGGAGTTATTTTGGCTCCAGTGTGAAACGATCATGGTGGGCAGGCTGTTATATCCCCTCTATGATCAAGACCATAACTAAACACGGTTGACTGACTGACTAAAACATGAAAAATATATATTTATACACAGTATGTAGACTCTCCAGCAAGTGACGCATCATGATGAAATGCAAATGAAAAATAATCATCACACAGTTGATGCTAAAATGACTTACAGATTGCTGGTGTTATAGCTACTTGCAGGGTCTAAAACTAAAACTTAACATACTTGAGATGGCTCCCACACACAAATAAAAAGACTTTTACTTTAGACTTTTACTAGACCTTTGTGTAATAGACTTGAGGTTTGTTATTCTAGTACAAGCACTTTACAACTACATAAGTGGTAAATATTTGAAAGGTTTCTTCAATAGCCTTCCATGACTGTATGTGATAAGGATTTGGGTTAAAGGTCGAGTGTGTAACATAAATTAAATTTCATGATACAACTTTGCATTGTAAATGACAATAAGACCTTGAATATTTTAATCCTTGAATTTAAGAGGATGTATTGACAGTAATGGAATATAATGATTATAGGTATGAAGAAAGGAAGGAAGGAAGAATCATTGTGTTTTTGTTACTTTGGAATGAACCGTTTTTATCTACATAGGGAGTGGTTCGTCCACTACAGAGTACACCATGGTGAACCACCATGTTTCTACAGTAGCCCAGAAAGCACAAACCAAACACTGGGTCTAGGTAGGTGTTTGCATTTTGTGCAAGTTTTGCTGCCACAATAATTTCTCCTTCAAGCCTGGAGGGCTGAAAAGTTTTCAAATCGGTTGCAATCTGCAACTTCACTGCTAGATGCCATTAAATCCTACACACTGGTCCTTTAAAGAGTCTACTTTCATTCTAGTGTGACTGACACATAAAGCGTCATTACACAACCAACAAAGCTGCACAGAATATATATTTTAATCCCATTCCATCAGGACATCTCCACAGGCTATCTCTAAAAGTTATACCCAGAATTAACATGATGTGGCCACAGCAGGCATACACTTATTTCATATGTGTGTCTGTGTGCGTGCAAGGCATGTTCGGTGTGAAGTCACCAACCCAAAGCTGTCCTTATGACATGTTACACAGCTGATAGTGAAGTCTCTCCTATATATAGGCAGAACATTTGCATGCCTTCAAATGTCTTAAAATCAAATCATTTAGAAAAAAAAATGTAAAAACTGACCTTCGAAATAAGCCTCTAAGTGAACATGTGATATGTGAATGTGATCTGCCACGAAACTGATATTTCGTGGCAGAAAATCTCAAGAAGCAAGAGAGACTGCTGTGAAGAGGCCAGTTGTACAGCTGCAAATCAAATACACTCTGCAATCCAATGAAGAACAGAGAGCTAGAGAGAGCACTGATTAGAGGTCAGCTGTTGAATGGGTTGGAGTACTTTAAAGCCTCACATCATTGGCCTTGACTACAAGATTTTTTAACAAATGAGCTATGTGCCATAATTTTTTTTCTTATTCTGAAGTCAGAAATCAACATGTGAATTGCACAAATACACAAGCCTCTGATCTTTCTGAAAGGAGCTCAGCCACAGCGAAATTGAAGCTGCAACAAAAACAAGAACTGGATTATTGTAGGAAAGGAGTCTCTGCTGGTTGCGTCAGTTCAGCTTTCATTCATGTTCATCCAAACGCTGTAGTTTCATTTTCCCACAACTGTACCGGCAGGACAAATCAATGAACTTCACAGAGACATGATACATGTCTTACATGTCAGTTTATATTTTAATGAGGATTTATATCTTTTTAAACTACTTTGTTTTAATGTACAGCTGCATTTAAAGACAACCCCACACACTAGCACTGCAGAGAAGATCTAAAGCCTCCTATAGCCTCATAAAAAGTAAAGGAAATCCCAACTTCTATCATCAGTCACAGATATGACTGCACACTGAGGTCCCCTGTCTTTATTTGATGACATTTAGGGTTTTGAGCATCCTCTGTGCAGAAACATATACACTGAAGGCATTTTGTTGGCTGATTCCAGCATTTTTAGACTCAATATATTGAAATGTGATTCACATATATGTCCATCCTGAAAGCCCTTTGAGGCAAATTTGTGATTTATTTTATTTTTGGCTATGACTGACCTGACTTTTAAGCCAGCAATTAAAAGTAAATAAATAATTCAGCATTTCCCCACCAGAATTTTATTCCTGGCAGTGTAAAGACTTTGAAGCTGCGTTTGGACCAGGGGGTGCCCAGGCTTTTTCACTTGGAAACAAAACTGAAACTTAATGGTGGGTTTTGGGCCAAAATCAAACACCAATTGTATTGTATAGATAAGATGCAAAATGGTAATAAGATCCCACGTTCCCTTAATTGACTGACTCCCTGCTTGCTGTGCTCAGTTTATGAAAAATAATTAATAATTAGGGATTCTATATTTTTCTACACAAAATAAAATAGTATGAACAGCAATGTATATTATAATCAGGGCTAAGGAAGGTTACTTTCAAATGTAATCAGATACAGAGACAAGTACTAATTGCCAGTTAAAGTCAGTAACCTAATCAAGTATCACAATTATTTTCTTTTTACTTTTTGATTGCCTCAATACCAAAAATGCAAATAAAGACAGGACAAAATAAATGTAAAAAAGATCATGTATATTCTATGAGATAACAGAACAATGTAATCTTAGAAAAGAAAATGGAAACCAAGATTTTTAGCATCAAAAATGTGTCTTATGCTCAGTGTGTCTTTAAAGAAAAACTTAGTTTTCATTAAGCAGATATAAGCATTAGCCATCTGCACAGCTGGAAGGCATTAGTTGCACTGTACTCTGATGTATTTTAATACATAATAAAATTTAGTCCTGAATAATCCCCCTTTTTACCAAATATAATTGTAATATGATTACACATGTTTCCCTGTAATGGATTAGTTACCCTTTTTTGTATCTTGATTACCTAACTACTTTACATGTAATCCGTTCCTCCAAAATTACATAAAATATGAAAACTTGGAAATATTTGCAAACATTTTAGAGACTTTTTTTGGTGTCTGGTCACAAATGTTTGTAGGGGTGTGGAGGTAGTGTGTGGATCATTGTGTATAAGGTGTGGATGCATTCAGGTGACCCCTGTTGCGATCCTGCTGACTGCTTCAAATAGTCTACACTAATTTAACAGATTAAAAACAAACACTTTCTTTGTCGTGTATTTTTATGGGGGGGTTATTCCACGCTGGCCGTTACACCGACCGCCGTCTTTCCCAGCAGCACGTGAAGGCACCACACCAACCCTGATCCATTGATCCGTAATCCAGGCGCCGGTAGGACTCTTGTGTTTCCACGCCTCCCACTTTCACCCCCATTGTGGTGAATCTCCGGCTCACACACACTTTGCCAGACTTCCAGGAGTTTGGAGCGGCTGGCCCGAAGACGGAACACCGACAACGTTTTTTTTTTTTTTTTAAAAAGGAAAAAAAGAAAGAAACTATCCCTCTTTTGACGCATGGATCTACTTTCTCCTCTGGAGGGATTTGACGGAGTTGCGATGGTTTGCGCTGCCGGGAACTGTGGAGACTTGTGCCGGAGAGAAAGGGCTCACGTACTCTACGCTGCAAAGTTGTAAAAGTAGTTTCCCCCCCCCTTGAAGTTTTTCTTTTTCCGCCGCCAGTTCAGACTCTCCAGCCTGTTAGACGCACAGCCATCATGGCGAGGCGGACAGGGGAGACACCTCTGCTTTTGCCGCCGATTACGCGCCCTGCTTTCCGGGATAAACACCATCGGTTTCACGGGGGCTTGATGGCTTTTTCCTGGAGCTTCATCTTAATCTGCTGGGCTCTTTCTTGTGGATATTGCGGAGCCGAGTCGGAGTTTTCCATACTGGAGGAAGCGCAAGTTTTGGCCGATCAGATGAAGAAGCTGTCCTCTCAGGAGCTGGGAGTCTTTACTATGCAGGTAAACGTGGAAGGGATGGAACTGAGCCTGTGTGGGTTTTTTTTTTTATTCATGTGTGAGTTGGAGCGGGTTTAAAAGGGGCCAAAACTGGCACAAGCAGGATAGTTAAAATGGGGGGTGAGGTGGGGGGGGGGCATACAAAAATAATGTGATAATGACTTGAGGGGAAGTTTGTTGACAGTAATGTGAGGGGACAATAAGCTCTTTGCTTTGCTCTGTCTTGCTCAACAACAAGCGCTTTGAAGTTGGGACGCATTTATCTGGGACATCAACACGCTGGAGGTTTGGTGTGTTTCACCTTTATTATTCCCTCATCTGGTTAAATAGACGCCTTTTTTTTATAAAAGATCTTTTACTTCGAGACATTTACTGTGTGAGTGCTGCAAAGACAAATGGAAAAGGTGAATAAGAGGCTGTCGCTTACTGTGATTAACATGAGCATTCAGCCTTGAATCATTTGTCCTCATGAATAAGAGCAGCTTGATGCAGTTAACTGTGATGTGTGCTAAGGTCATAAGCCTCTGTTTTATAAAGGTGGGCACATTGTAAAGCTTTTTCTTTTTTTTTTATAATTCAACTGCTTTCCTAGTGTGTCTGAGAATCTGTCTCCTGAACGTCACATAATATGAATAAATCCATATTTTATCTAAATTGACTGCAATCAGAGAATCAGCTTTTGGACAGGAGGAGAAGTCAAAGTGTTTGTGATTAAATACAAACAGTAAATCAGATTGTGATCATATATCATGTGGATGGAAACACATTGTCTCTGTCAGCATCAGTTGTATTAGGGCTGCAACCAATGAGCTGATGATGCTGTATGTACAGCTATTGGTGATTATTTTTTTTTAGTAGGCTAATTGATTAATTGGTTGGTTAAATGTCAGAAAATAGTGAAAAATGACCAGCTGTCAAGGTGATGCCTTCAAATAGCTTGATCCAAAAACTTAAAGATATTCAGTTTATAATTATATTAAAAGGAGGAAATCCTCACATTTCAGACACTGTAACCAGGGATTTTTAGCCTGATAGATGTTTTAAAGGATTCATTGATTCATTGTTTTAGCTCTGACTGCAACTGATTTTTGTGTTTTATTAGATGTTCATTATTTAACGTGCCCTTTTTCTTCCTCATTGAAGATATCAAGAACAACCATTTTTTTTAGCTGGTAACCCCATAATCTGTGTAATGATTGTATCCTCATATTACATTATATCAGCCTTGATAGATCATTGATTTTAGAGCTCAAACAGATTCATCAATTAGGTGATTGGCAGAATGTGAATTGAGTAAGCAAATGTGCCAAAATGACACCGGTTTAAGCTAATCAAATGTGAATATTTATGGATTTTGTTTGTCTTTTGTGATAGTAAACTGATAAATCTTTAAAAAATTGTCAACTATTAAGAAAAATTTAAGTAATTTATTTAAAAATACCAAACATTCGTATGTTCCACCTCCTTAATTTAGAGGATTTGCTGTTTATTTTTATTTTATATGAGAATATGTGATTTGAATGTGTCACCTTGGGCTTTAGGAAATTGTAACATTTTTCAGTATTTCCAGTTTATTTTAAGACCAAACAATTAATCGAGAAAATAATGTGAGCACAGCAGAAAGGCTACTTTCATGTCCATCCGTGCAGAGCTGCGTTGAGTCACCAAATGGCAGGAGGTGCAGTGCCGGGTGCTGCAGGGTGTGAGGGGGGTGTTTAGCACTTCAGAGGCAGTGGCGCTCACAGGCCCTGAACACAGAGGCGAGGCAGCGGGGGGGCCCTGCCCCCAAATGGTGTTTCATCTTCTCCGCTTCCACACTGAGCTGCCTTCATCCCGGCTCTGGGAGTTGGCTTTGAGGGCTTCCTCTGATCCCTCTGGATCCGCCTTTGTCGCCGCTCATCCCTCCTTGAGCTCCAGTTTGTGCTTGGTTTCCGTCTCATTCCGGTTCTCCCCATCACAGAAAATGACACTGTTTGTGCAGTCTGTCTTATTTGCTCTGCATTATTCTTCTTTTCTGCTCTTGCTGGTGCAAGTAAAAATATATCAGCCCGCTTTTATTATCTTTCTGGTTCCTTCTGTCTTTATTTCTGTTTTTCTCTCATATCAGAGTACAGTTGTTCTATAGCTGAAAAGACGTAATTAATTCAATTTTTTTTACATTCTGATTACATACAACCCTTTCTTAGTATTTATGGAAATATGCATTCAGAATCGTCCCCCTGTATCGTGGGAAAACAGTTTTCAGGATGTTGTTGTACAAGCTGTGAAAATCTGCTTTGGCATGAAGCTAATGTGAGTTTGATTGAAGCGGTACATTTCATGGATTTGTCAGAGCGGTTTTCTGTGAATGTAAGAGATGTGCATCCAGTAAAAACAGTCCGCATCTGCCCGTGAAAACAACTGCAGGAATCTGTCGGCCACGCAGTCTGTGTGGACACCTGCTCTGATGCTCAGATGTGGCCTGACTGGCAGTCTGCAGGTGTGTCAGCTGAAGTAGATTTCACTTTATCTCTCTGTCTCTTTGACATTTTCCCTTTTCCCCCTTGCAGTGACGGAGGCAGTGATTTTCCACACTGTGATTTCCTCCCCCCTCTAAAATGAGTTTTTATCCAAACGGCACCATTGCCTTTTAATACAAGTCCTGTTTTCTGGAGTCACAGCTGACATTCATTATCTTTTTGTAAGTTCTATGCTTTTGGCACAGAGACACCAACGTGCAGGGTTCACGCTGTACCATTTCAGAGAAGATCTGAAGGTTTTGTTATCAAGCGAGCATCCCAGCATCTCCATTTAAACCGTAATTCTACCCCTCTTCACTCCACCCCTCATTCTCTGGCAGATGTGTAATTTGAGGCTTGCGTTGTCGGTGCTTCTGAGTCACTGGGTCAACCTTGTTCAAACTGTCATTGAGTTACTCAGTTATCAGGGGACACGGGGGTGTACAGTTGACACTTTTAAGTTGATAGGTCAACATTTCAGAGGATGTTTGTCACCAGAGAATAATCAGATTGATGTTATAAAGGCAATTCTCTGGGAAGGTTTTAAGGTATTCTAATACAATATACTGCATAGTTTATTTTTTGTGGATTATTTTAACTACAATGTTTGCTACTATAAAGTTTGCTGTAAGGCTGCAACTAACTGTTATCCTCATTATTGATTATTGGTTTAGTCTATGAAATGTCAGTCATTATCCCCCCTGTGCCATCGTTGGAAAATTGATTGGAAAAGAACAGACACTTTCACAAAGTACTCGGCAGGTGATTGGATGAACCATCTGTCTGTCACCACCTACCGTGGGCGAACTTTAACCAATCAGATCAACCCACCATCTAACAAACCCAAGTCAAGCTCTTACCTGAACCAGTCAGGTAAGAACAAAAAAATCTTTTCCATGGAGAAAAGCCTTCAGATACCACTGTACCATAGATTCTTGCATGAATTTTTGTGATCTTGCAAGGTTATTAGTCGATCAAACATTTCTCAGAGCCAAAGTTGACATCTTCAAATGTTTAATTCTGTCTAACTTTAATGTAATAAATGATTAGAAATTTGATTAGCCAGAACCAGTGAAAGTTGATCTTATTTAGAATATTACTGAAACAATTAATCAAGTATCAAAATGGTTGCCAATGAATCTTCTCTCAGTTGACTTATCAACTTTAATATAGACACATTTCAGTTTTCCTACTTTGTAAACTTGTTTAGTGTCTCTACAATTTAGTTAGTCAGTACAGAAATGTTGTTTTCCCATCATTTACATATTAGATTTTCCATAATGTGTTATTTATTTAAAACAGTCTTTGTGTGGCTCTTGTCAAGTTGTAGCTGATGCATACTATTTGTTGTATCTTTGATTGATTGCAGCCTGACCTTGCAGGTTCTCAGTGCATAAACCAGAAATGTAAGAATAGTCTGCCACATTAAGGAATTACTTCACATCCTTCTGACTGATTTATGACTGTTTCTGCCATGTGACTCTCTGCGGTTTATGTGAAAGCAGACAGTCTTCTCTGATATATGTAACTAATGAGCATTTCATCTCAGATTTTCTGTGGCTTAAAGTAGGAGGTTTTACATGGCAATTTGGATTTAGCCGTGAATGTAAATATGAAATTTAATCTCCTTTCCCTTTTCCATGTTATTAAAACACGGGCTTGGTGCTGCTCTTGTCATGTGGGCGCCAACTGGAGCCAAGACCACGGCACAAGTTTCCAGCCTTAGTTACAGCAACACGTGCCTGATCACTGTTGGAAACAAGGAGACACTTTAAAGGTGTAACGAACCAGCGTATTGTCGCCAGAGGTGAAGCCAAAAAGAGATCACTCATCATCACAGTGTGAAAAGTCCAGTTCACTTGCTTTTACTGAGAGGGTATTTACGGCCCTGTTGGCTGATTATTTACAAAGGAAATTTCACCGTGTTAGTTTTAAGGGCCTTAATCCACAGAGAAGTGTGGTTTGTTATTGAGACTGGCTCGTCCAGTATCCCCGGCCCCCTAATTGAATATTGATAGTAATTTGAGGGAAATGGAGGTTTGTGCAGGAAAAGAGAAAATTGGGGTAGCTCCTGCCCTGTCATTATGCTGTGATTTTCTGGGTTGGGTTTGGTCCAAGGGCAACACCGGTTGAGGGGCTATCACAGAGCCCTGATTCCTGCTTTTGATTTGATTTTGATTCAGGCTCTTTTAACATGTATAAATATCTTCTCTCTCTCTTCTGTCTCTTTGTTTCTGCACACTTTAATTTTAATCTCATTTCTCAACTTTCTCTTTCGTCTGTCTCTCGGCTGCCTTCTTCTCTTCTCTTTTCTTCTCTTTATACTGAATCACTTGCAGAGGCAGGCAGGAACTGAGGAGGAGGGTTAGAGGATATACAGCAGGACATCAGAATTCCTGCTAGGTTCTCTGCAGTACAGCTTCAAAGCCTTCTTGCCTCTTACTGCATTGCCTGCATGGCTGTGTGCTCAAACAGTCAAGGTTACTATGAGCCTCACAGGCCCTC